TGGTACGACTGCTCTGTAATTCGACTTTTCTCGTTTTAATGTGGATATTATTAAGAGGTATGATGTTAGCATCCAAACCACTGCACTGCGCTTTGAAATTGAATCTTCCCTTCAGGGTATTTTTGTACCTGTCTATACAGTAGCAATAAAGGAATCAAATTAATAGAAAATAGAACTGGTCATGTATGGTGGTGTCTTGAAATGAAAACACACAAGCAAGAATGTCATCAACAATGTCTTTTCTGTTTCTAATGCAAGTGCTTACACTACTGACATGCACACAAGCACCTCGGCACCTGTTTAGTGGTGGAACACAAACAAATGACAAGATGGCATATTCAAAGTCTCGGTTTAATTAGGCGTACAAATCCCCTGTGCCACACTTCTGCCTTTTTAGAACGTCAGTGAAAAGGGCCACAAAAGTGCTCTACCTTACCTACAGGTAAGCTGCTCTTTGGCCACAGTAACAATAACATGCATATTATGTCCAAAGGATTGTCACTAAAAGAGTAGGTCATCTTTTCCTCATACAAGAATCTTGTTTTATTTGAAACAGATGCAACTCATTCATCGAGCACACAAAAACAAGCGAGACCAGGCACGAGCTTTCAGACTCATGGAGAATTACTTTATTTTCTGGCTCTTTGCTGTGGTTAGAAGACCCGTGTACACACTTGAGACGTTTTTCAATCCAAGACGACGTCTGAGAGGGACTACTCTTAGCTGGGCTCAGCAATAAACCTTCCTGAATAAGAATGGCAGCAGTATACCGGGGGGGCTAATGCAGTGCTTAACTGTGGGAACATTATCTTGCCATCCCGGATCAAGTGGTTACAGGGTTTATAGCTAAACAACTGAGGGCTGTTCCACCTGTCTGTTTCCCTAGCATAAATATGCTCGAGTTACAAAGCTTTCCCCTCAGCTAGCTTCCCATCTCCTGCCTACGTGGCATTGAAGGCCATGCCTGAAATAGAAGCTAATTAGCTCTTGTGCAAGGGAAGAGAGCTCCTGATTTCTGAAGCCAAGGGGGCAGGCATTCAGCTGTTGAACACCTCACCGTTTGACTGATGCCATCACTTTCCGAAAGGTCAGGTTGATTCTCGGGGCCAGCACTTTCTTGCGGGTTGGCAGGCTGTGGTACCAGTACAGGTTGGTGGGGTAGTTCATCATGAGCAAGCTGCCATGGGCGAGCTGCAGCTTCACCGGCTCTACGTGCCGCATGGCGTTTTTCCCTCGGGAAGCTCCATGCCTGAAGAAGAAGTCCCTGCAGGCCCCAAAGGACACAGAAGCAATGGGACTCTGTGGAACCAGCTCTCGCTCGTCATCACGGTGCTCCCCCATATGATCACGCCCGTCTTTGTACCTGTTGGGGAAGAGTACTTAGTTCTTCCGCCCATTCTGCTTCCATGCCACGTGACCGCATGCCAAAGGCATACCCTGGCATTGTCAGGTTCAAACATGCTTCCCAGATTGTGCTAATGTTCAAATGAGCAGCCAGGGACAGGATCCCCCCTCGCCTGTCTGTGTCCTCTCCAAAATTACTCAAATGCCTGCTGTGTTTGAGTAATGCCGTGTTCACTTTGCAGTGAATGTGCTATTATCGGCTGCGCCTGTCTAGGGGGAGTCCAGGTATGTAGTGGATTAGTAGTAACAGGATTCACCCCTCTTATGGGACACCAAGGAAAAAGCTTTAGGTCTTGCTCTCAAGTACCTCGCCAATTCGTTTGCACTGATGTGGATATTACATGACCATAACATGCCATTTAGTAGAAAAAGCAAGGTGGCAAATTGCCACTGAAGGTTGTCCGCTCAGTGAAACAACTGGCACTCGGTGTGTAATGTGAAGGGAGAGAAGCTCGGTTCCCTCCAAGCCAAACGCACCTGTTAATCAGAACGAAATTGAAAGTGTGCCCAGTGGCCAAGGTGACGCGGTCTCTGATCTGGAGCAGAACAGGAATCCAGGGCTTGGGTGAGAAGGTAACACCTGAGTAGGTGTAGGTGAGCTCAGGGTCTCCATACGTCACCTGCTTCCGTGGGATGATGTGCCACTTGCCAAACACCTGCACTTTAGTGAGATCACCTGTTTGAAGGAGAGTTTGGAGAGGTCACGGTCAGCCTGGCTTTCCTTCTACAAAATGAAACAGCGGTGTCCTGAAGTTCAGAGCAGGCTGGAGTGCAGGGAGCAATCAGTCCCTTCATAGAGCACAATTTCCCTGATGCAGAGCAAGGCCAGAACAGAACAGCTTCGCTCAGGAAACGGTCAGGTCTTGAACAGTCAAGATCTATAATTAGGTTCCCTGGAACAAGAAAAGTGATCTGGGATTCTCCACCTCCTTCCCTGCTGTTGGTGGGGAGTGGCCGCCCCACAGGGGCTAGCTGTAACATTAGAGCTTTCCCACAACCCCCACCCCTTTCGCCTGCAAACACTTATGGGCGTGACGGGGCTTGCTGGAATCTACCTACCTACAGTTAAGCCAGAGCCGACACGTGCTGTTATGCATGCAGGGCCTGACCTTGCAAACAAATCTATCTGCAGGGATCTTTGTTTCCACATGGAGCCCTGCTGAAGCCACTGGAGACCCATTCAGGAACCAGAGCCCATGTAGGTTTGGGCCCTGAGTGTTTCAAGACTTCCTCGCTCCCTGTCAGTGATAAACCAGGTTTTGTGGCAACTACAGACAGAAGAGAGACTCTGGTCCCGGTCACTTTGGTTACCTTCAAAATACTCCACCTCCTTCTCCAGCTGCTGGAGAATCTCATCAGCCTCGGCTCGGCCAAAGAGGATCCTGTAATCGCAGCTCAGCCCCTCGGCCTGGATGTGCTGCCATGGGGAATGTGGCAAAGATCCATCCGTGCCTGCGTCTTCAGGCCGGGGCCTTTTCCTCTCTCCCCCACTCTCTTCTCCCGCACAGTCCTGGTGTCCGCATGTCTCCTCCGTGGTCCCGAGCAGCTTTCGTTTGCCAAGGGAAGGCTTTTTGACCAAGAACTTGTCCATTCCTGGCTGGGCCCCCCAAATGGTCAGAAACTGGCACCAACCTGCAAACGAGAGGGACGGCAAAGGCAGAGTAGTCTGCGAAGGGATTCAGGGTGCAACCAACCAAAAAAAGGCTTAAAAATCCTGGCTCACAACTCAGGGAGCCAGTAAAGTACCCGAACTCCTGGACCCAGGCCTGTCATCATCACACACTCCACTGGAGCTGGCCTCTGAGGATCCAGAGCCTGATACAGCCACACTTGCAGCAGCTGCTTCCCTCCCACCACTTCCTGTCTGCAATGCTCAAGCGTCCTAGGGAGGATGGGCTTGTTTCTGCTGGGTGAGGCTGGCTGCAAAGTCCACGGCCACCACCTACCGAATCTTCTTGGAAATGCCTCGGAAATAAATATAGCCACGCTCTCATCAGGCTGACAGAGAGTAACAGCCACTGCTCTCTCCGCAGGGCCGCGAGGGGTCCTGCAAGGCTAGAAATGACTCAGTTCAGGTCCTTGTTTTCCCCCTCCAAACTGCCTAGTAAATGCTTATTAACAGATGACTCATTTTCTGACCCAGCTAATTGGGTCGCCCGCAAATGACATGTGCCTCCCTCACTCCTGAGTCATCTGAAAGTGCAGGGAGCATACAGGAGTATTGGTCCAAGGACATAGCATGCAGCACACCTGCTGGAACAGGGGCTCAATTGTCTCACTACCCTGGGCAGGTCCCCCAAGGTTTGGCATGCTGCAGGTAGTGTGGCTTAGTGGTCATGGAGGTGGCTTGGGGCTTGTGAGAGCTAGGTCTGTTCTCAGCTCTGTCCTGAGCTTGCTTTTATGGCCTATTCGCTTCCCTCCCCTGCTCTTCGTTGGTGCTGTGAACTCTCCAGAGCCGTGGAGCTGCCCCTGCGAGTCTGTATCATGCTTAGCGCAATGGGGTCCTCATCTTTATTTAGGTTTCACTGCCACATCTAGCAAGTAACTGTAATTGTGGCGCACAGCAATCCGTTTGCACAGCAATTACAGCTCTAATTATCCCGTTCCTCTTGCAGGTGCAAGCTGAGGCCACCTGCAGGCCCTGCAATTTGCAGTCTTTCCTTCTCCAACCTTCCGATTTTTAACCTGTGAACAGCCTAGCGTGTACACCATCGGTCTGGGCATCGTGACATCCGGACCCTGCTGCTGTTTTAGCCTCTTTGTGCTGGTCTCACATATGTAGCTTGGGGGGTAACAACAGCGACCGCAGGCCTGAGGGAAGCGTCGACGAGCGCTGCTTTCTAGCTAGCGCATGCGGCGCAGTGCCACAGGGGGGTGTGACGGATGTCTCCACCCTGCTCGATGCCTGATGGGCTTTTTTGTTTTCCCTGCTGGAGGTTTGCTGCTCCCCTCTTGGCGCGGGGTAGGATGAGGAGCTTGGCACAGGCGAAGAGCCTCTCCCGCACGTGCCAGCCAAACAGCCCTGCTGCTCCTCCACCGCTGGCTGGCGCCGCAGGGGCAGAGACCCTCGAAACGCTGCCATGGGCACTCGCAGGGCAAAGGCGCTGGAGGCGAGCGCACGGTGTGAAAGGTGCTGCCTCCAGGGGCAGAGGCAGCGTCACGCAAGCCTCGCATGCGGCTGGGCAGCGCCTCGGGGCCCTTCCCACCACTTCCACCCCCGTCTGCCCACTCCACCGTGCAAGCCAGTCGTGCTGGGAGCGACCCGGGGATCAGGGACCTGCTGCACACGCACAATTTTGCCACGTGTGCACACTTGCTCTACATGCACCATCCCACACCCCCCATGCACACTTGCCCTCGGTGCACCTTCCCTCCCACACAAACACCTGCCTATGTGCACACACTCTGGCTATACGCACCTTGCACACACACCTGACCCCCCCCCCGAGCGAGGCTGCCCCCAGCTGTCAATCAAGATGCTAGGTCTATCCTGGGGGGATGCTTCGCGCATGCGCACTCGATGGACCGGGACAACGCCCCCCGGCAACTCCGCGCATGCGCAGACGCTTGGCGCCAAATTCTATCTCCCGCGGCGGCAGGAGCCGGGCGCTGTGAGGGGCTGAGGGGAGGGACGGGACGGGGGCAGAGCCGCCACCATGATCGGGCAGAAGACGCTACACTCGTTCTTCAGCTCCACGCCGCTGCCGAAGCGCGACCGCTCCCCGGAGCCGGGCGGCAACACTCAGGTATCACGGGGGGAGTGTGTGGGGGGGCAGATACTACCCCCCCACACCGCTCACGCGGTGCCTGTTTGAGGGCGGGGCCAGCCTTCCTCTCCGGCCAATAGGAGAGCGAGGGGGGCGTGGCCACTCGGCAAGGCGACACTCGGAGGAGACGCGGCCAATCAGGAGCGTCCCCCCCTCCCGCCCTCCCAATCGGAGGAAAGGGAGTCCGCCTTCCGGGCGGCCAATGGGGAGAGGCGCGGGCTCTTCCATAGCCTATTGAGGCGTGGGGGGCGGGCTCTGGTGGCCGGCTGCCCAATGGGCATG